CAGATGACACCAATTAATTGTTGTTGCCAAAGATGAGGCTGAGCACAACAAGGGAATTTCACTGGTGTTCGAGGTTGATAGGTCCGACCTATAAGTAGGAAAAGAGTGCACGTCAGAGGCCCCGGGTGTTATCCTAGGGGCGGAGACTCTGACGGTTAGCGTCCATTAACGTTCGACTCAAAGCTTAGTCCTTAACATTGGGCAAATTTCTTAAAGTACCCCTAAATTTTAGAAAATTGATTTATCCACCCCTACTATTGAGAAATTGACTTAAAGTAAGTACCCTATAAATTTATGACATTTGACTAAATCCTCTTTGCTGTTAGTGTCCATTAACAAAAAAAAATGTAAAAGACTATTTTACCCATCATTCGTCTTTAAATTTTCAAAATATAACATTTGAATAAAACGCGATTATTGGAAATGTAAGCACCAAACCTACTGCCCTACACCCTTCTTTTCAATTAAACAGCCAAAACACTCTTATTCAACAACCAATACAGAAGTTTGTATCACTAGCGTTCTCTTTTGTAAAAATTAAAAAAATAAAAAATGTAGTGTACAAAAGTGTCTTAAAAAATTCCAAGCCATTTCACAAAATAATTGAAACTCAGCAACAATAGGTCCAATCAAAGCACTAATGATCTTAGTAATGGAGAACCAATTCTTTGATCACATGTTCGGGAGGATGAAATGAATCAACCCACTCTCCAAATAAACCATAATCGCCACTACTAATCCCTCGGTTTCTTCATCGTCTTTCTACTACGTCATTTCTCCAGTTCATGCATTGTTTTCTTTCTCAAATGACTTCTTTGTCCATCACCACATTACGTTGAAGAAACCATGTACTTTTATGTCTATTTGAGGGTTTAACTGCGTTTTGGTTGTGTTTCCAAGTGGTTATTGTTAGTTTTATCGTTAAGAAATGGACATTTTGTAGCGTCGGAGTTTGCTTGTTTTTTAGGTTATTTTCTGTATATTTTCGCCTCAAAGTTTGCAGAGAAGGCTTCTGAACTATGTTTTGATTTATTAGTTCTTTAGTTATATTTTTCTAGGATTTGCGATTCTAGGCTAAGAGGAGGGAAAAGGGAAATCATGGGTCGTGGATGAGGATGTTAGCATTTCAAATTTTGTTGAATTATATTTTGAAAATTTAAAGAATAATGAAAGGCAAAATCCATCACAACAGGATGATTTTGAGTTTTAAAAAATTATGCAAGTCGCATGTGAACAAATTATGATGAAATATAGTCAAAAAACTTGTAGATACTTTAAGACAATCTATAAACAATAGGGATAGAGTTAGTCAATTTCTTAAAACTTAGGGATACTTTAAGAAATTTGTCTTTAATTTTTTGAATTGTTTTCTAAAGAAGATAATGAAAATTTCATTTGAGATTTGGTTTGAATTACATATATTAAGACACTTTTGTGCTTTAGTGAGTCATATATTAAGAGACTGGTATGTTCAAATTATGGAAGAAGGCTTCTTAGATGAATCATCACTTTTGTATGATTTTTCTTTCTTTTTGTTTTTTGGTTTAGAATAATATAGTTGGCATGTCAGCAAATCCCTACTGCCACGTTTGGCTTAGTAGAAAATAAGAGAAATATGAAATTGGGGGAAAGTTTTCAAGAAATTTTGTGAAAATTTTTAATAACTTTTAACTTTATGTTTCTCACTTGTTTTTCTATTAAACCAAGCATAACGTAAACGAAAACTACATACATTACCAATGCATAGTTTGGACAATCTAGTAATCCACATAGCTGCTTGATCCTACATACTACATACTAGAGGTAGGGCTGTTCATAACAAGACCCAAACCGACCAACCCGATCTGATCCAACCCGAGTTGGTCGGTTTTTCTTCAGCACTGGTCGGTTTCGGGTTATAAAAAAACATAAACCAATGGTTCGGTTCGGTTATGAAAACCAAAACCGAACCGACTTAGATATATATTATATATATAATATATTTCAGATATATTATATATATATCTGATATATTTCAGTTTTTCTATATATATATTTCAATTTTAATATATATTTGTGGAAATATATATATCAGYTTTATTTCAGAAATATACATATTATATATAAAATTTCTGATATATAAAATATCAGTTTTAATCTATCAAATCATTTTTAATTTCCAGGCATCCAGCCTTTGCTTTCTTAGACTTGAATCCTTTACCGTTCACATCGAGAGAATCATTCACAAAACCGACCCAAACCGATTCAAACCGACCATGTCGGTTTTACTTAGTACTGGGTCGGTTTAGGTTTCATTTTTAGGTAAACTGACCAGGTCGGGTCGGTTGGAAAAACGCCAGTAAACTGACCCAACCCGACCCGTGAACAACCCTAACTAGAGGTGCCAGCTAGCTTGCTTGTTTATAGTCTTTGTCCGGTTAGTAGAGATTAGCTAACGGTGCAAGCAGTTTGATTGTCCCAATCCAAGAATTTTAGCTACCTCAAGCTAGAGTTTGGGTTTGGGTTCATTCTAATTAAAAAAAAAAATCATAAATTGAACATTCAACTAAGGGTGCAACTTTAGTTGGGAATTTGTTAAACTTACAATGGACTCAAAGCCGAAACCCAATCCAATATAGTTTTTTTTACCATGTACTTTGGAGGTAGTCTTACTTTAGGGCTTATTAAAATTTTCAGAAATATATATTTAAGTCCAACTTTATAAAATACTCATGTTCTAATTCTATTCTTTCACTATTCATCTTCTTCCACCTGAATTTAGTTTAGACTTTAGATTAAAGCCAATGGTAGCAAATTAAGCATGCCCTGGTTGGTTCATTGAGGGTAGTCTCACTTTCGGACACTTACTTTGTTGCTACTAGTTCATGGGAAATGGACTTAAATGCACATATATAGAAATTTAAGTCGACGTTTAAAAAAAATGACTCAGTAACAAAACCATTCTAGCCACCAGTTTTCAGGTCGACAATCCAACCATCTGATTCTAACAAACAAATTAAAAAAATAACAAATAATTAAAAATAAAAATGATAAAAAATTGTTGAACGGGTCGACTGGTCTACAGTTTGACCGCCTAGATCAATGGGTTGTTGACTTTTTCAACGATTTTTGGCCAAAAACTAGGTTTAGGGTAAAATGGAATAAGTTGCTTGGACGGTTCTTGGGCCAAATAGTCAAACCGTCCAAATCAACAGCAATTCGAAAACCTTAGTTCAAGTACTAAAGYAATTTACCTTTTTATCATTTACACTCAATAATTCAATATAGTTTAGAACTTAAAGTTATTCAAATTGGGCAACCTCACTTACACTCCCACCTAGGGTTGTTCATAATAAGATCCAAACCGACCAAACTGACCAACCCAGTCTGATCCAACCTGAGTTGGCTGGTTTTTCTTCGGCACCGGTCAATTTCGGGTTACAAAAAAACATAAACCGATGGTTCGGTAGATATATATTATATATAATATATTTCATATATATTATATATATATCTGATATATTTCAGATATATATTTATGGATATATATATATATATATATATATATATATATATATATATTTCAGCTTTATTTCAGAAATATACATATTATATATAAAATTTCTGATATATAAAATATCAGTTTTAATCCATCAAATCATTCTTAATTTTCAAGCATCCAACCTTTGCTTTCTTAGACTTGAATCCTTTACCTTTCACACCAAGAAATCATTCACAAAATCGACCCAAACCAACCCAAATTGATTCAAACCGACCAAGTCAATTTTACTTAGTACTGGGTCGGTTTCGGTTTTATTTCTAGGTAAACCGACCAGGTCGGGTCGGTTGGAAAAATGCCAATAAACCGACCCAATCCAACCTGTGAACAGCCCTACTCCCACCTCTAATCAAGATAATAGTTAATAAACCAATTCACCGTTATATTTACTTTAGTAGCCTATTCGCCTTAAAAAATATTGTTTTATGAAAGTATGGTGGTGTTCGACAATATGGTTGATTTTATTTCTAAAAACAAAAGCAATTGCCACATCAGCAAACTTATATTGTTTTTGTTGATGTGGCAGTTAAAAATAAATCAACTATATATTGTCAACACTCCATGTATATGGAAAAACAAATTTAACTGGCTTACAAACCGGTTCTGTCCAGTCCAATTTCCTACCCACAAACTCTTCCCACATGCCCACCCAACGTGATTTGGGAACATCTCCTAATAAATGACAAAAGGAGATTTTCCTGTAGTGTAATGTGAGCAGGGAGGGATGTGGGAAGAGTCCGGGGTAGGAAATCCGAACCCGGTTCTATCAGATTCAATTTGCGGGTCCGATCTATTTCCGGTCTAATCTCATGTGGTTTGCGTAATTGCGTGCCCAAATTGTCATAAATGAAATAGGTGAGGGTCATTTTGGTCCCGATGAACCAATTTGCATCTTATTACCGTGTTCGGATAAATCAAGACACAGAAACGGGAATCTCCTTCGGCAAATTCTGATTCCCTCTAAATTCACTTTTTATCCATGTCGAGGAGAATATTTCCTTCACTTCAGTTTGAGACATTGAGTACGTACTCAAAGGGTATAATCGTCATTGTGGCTTTCAACAAATACCGATTGCCGAAAATCAACCAAGGAATCCAGTGGTTGCCAAAAGGAGAAACAATCACCCGCCAATTCCCGAATAATTTACTCTGTGACTGTGACCCCACCTGTTAAACCTCGATCAAGTTAATTCCTCCCCTGCCGTCCACGTCAGCTTCAAGAGTCTACTCTACCCGCAACTGATCAAACGACCGTTTCTCTTCCCAAAAACCTGTTCGACCTTTAACGACACATTAACTCTCTGGCCACGGAGCTGTTAAACGTAGTTCATCTCCTTCTCCGAGCCTCGAACCTACGTCCCGAACCGAAAACCAAAGCGAAAACATCACAGCTTCGGAAACCGAGCCTTAGCTTCGGATATTTGATCACGAGTTCGGTGGCGAGAAGACTGTTTTTTGATTTTCGATTTCTCTCGAGGCGGTGAAGCGCACAGAGATTTTTTGTTTCCCTTCGTTAAAGGTCGAGCTGTTCTACTTGAGTTATGCTCTCACTTCTGATGATCAGAAAACCCTAAGTCCTTGCTAGATTAATATAAAGTGTTTACTTCGAAAGAGTTCTCGCTTACTGTTAAGCTGCAAAGTTTCTGATCTTTATTGAAAAAATTCGACAATTTGAACCGTCTGTGCAGTCTGGGTTTGAGTTTGGATCGGTGCTGTTGCTCGGGGAGATGATTCTTGGACTTGGTTTTGAAGATCATAGCCTTCTGTTTCAATCCCTTCTTTGTTTTGGTTAAGTTGGTGGTTGTTTTAGTTGCTCAAGTTGTAATTAGGCTGTGAGATATGGAGATCAAGTTTGCGTTGAAACCAGGATCAGTAATGTAGTCTTTGATCCGTCTGGAAAGTAGGATCTGAGGTGAGATTTTTCGAAAGCAGGTCTTTTTGATCATCTTTTTACCAAGTTTCTATCCCGACTCTGGTCAATATATTTCTTTCTCTGGATTGAAGTGGCTTGAATTATTCTTTACGAGATCACTAACACAAAATACCTGATTATATGGGTTAATTGTGACCGTTGCAGCTACCAGTCGGTTCTTCAGTTTCCTTTTTATGTTTCTTTTGCCAGTATTGGAACCTAACCATGGCACAGAGCAACTGGGAAGCAGATAAGATGTATTGCACCGTTCTAGTTTTTCCATTTTTCCTGTTAAATTCTTAGCAAATTTTGTTTTTCTTTGCTTCATTGTCATTAATATTAGAAAACAATTGTTGTTCTGATCGTCTTTTTGGTTTACATACTAGGCTTGATGTTTATATTTACGATTATCTGTTAAAAAGAAATTTGCATGCCTCTGCAAAGGCTTTTATGTCCGAAGGAAAAGTCGCTGCAGATCCAGTAGGTAATAATGTTATCTGATGCTTGACTAACTATTACTTTATATTTCAAGATTCTTTCGTGATCAAACTGGGTCTTCTAGATAGGATCAAATAGATGAATTGAAGTCTTTCTAGCCAACCTTGTATCTAACTCGTGGCTTGAAAGTGCAGCAATTGATGCACCTGGAGGATTTCTGTTTGAATGGTGGTCTGTGTTTTGGGACATCTTTATTGCAAGGACAAATGAGAAGCATTCTGAGGTTGCTGCAGCATATATAGAGGTTCCTTTATAAATATAGCACTATAGCAGTTATTTTTGTGCCCTCCTTAATGGGATAATTTTATTGGAATATTTTAGGGAAGTGGTTAACTGAACCTTCCCAGAATTTCTTCATGATACATAGGCACAACAAATGAAAGCAAGAGAGCATCAACAACAGCTTCAAATGCAGCAGTTGCAGCTCATGCAGCAACGCCATGCTCAGTTGCAACGCAGGGATGGTCCTACTCTTGGGGGTCCGATAAATCCTATGAACTCTGAGGGAATGCTGGGTCAGTCTACAGCCACTGTTTTGGCTGCAAAAATGTATGAAGAAAGGATGAAACATCCTCACTCCATGGATGCAGAAACATCCCCACAATTTATTGATGCTAGTAGGATGGCCCTTTTAAAATCAGCAACTAATCATGCAGGGTAATAACTTAGTCATAGACCTTTTCTTCTGTGTATGTTCTTATGTCTGCCTGTTTCCTTGAATTGTTGGTACATTGTTCATTTTACTTACTCTTATTGCTGACACAGCCCATTGGTCCAAGGTAATTCGGGAGGTGTGTCTGCAGCATTGCAACAAATGCAGGCACGAACTCAGCAGACCACTGTAACCACTTGAACTATGCCTTATTCCTTTTGCTGTTTTTTTTTTCCTTTTTTAGATTTTGTACATCTGCTGCCACAGTGTCTGAATTGTAGAAAATGTTTTGGCATTATAGGACATTAAGGGTGAAGTGAACTTGGGTGTAACTCAAAGATCTATGCCTATGGATCCTTCATCAATCTATGGACAAGGAATTATGCAACCAAAAACTGGACTAGCCAGTGCAGGTATGTTTACTTGATTCTCTAGAATAAAATTTGTAATTCTTGCATGGAGAAATTGAGAGTGAACTATGAGTTTTGCATGGATTGACCCTATGATTTAGATATGAATAAGTTGTATCTTAGAGGTTGGGTGGTCAAAGGTCCTTCATGTAATTAGAAATTACTGGGATGTATACATATATACATGTGTGTGCATTATATCATTTACATAATGTATAATTATATGTATATATATGGTTTATATTAGGTCTAATTTATATTTTTTATTTCAATTTTTTAATTTCTATAATAAAAAAAAGCTATAAATTGGGATTTGAGGCCAAAAGGAGGGGGGGGGTTTAGAAATTTATGGCCAACCAAGGTTCAAAATTTCGATACATATCGTATCGGAGCCTTCCCGATACGCCCCTACAGGGGGTGTTTCAGGCCAGCGAGTGGTTCAGGGGGTAGACCGGCCTTAAACCGGCCCCTCTGAACCAGATTTGAAAAAATATAAAAAAACAAAAAAACAAAAAAACAGTACCGATACACCCTACTGGCATATCGCCCTGTATTGATATTTTGAACCTTGTGGCCAACATAAAAAAGATCATCCCAATTGGACAACTGAGCGCAAAGTTATGGCCTCCGGAAGTTTTCAATACATTGTGAGTTGTAACCTGTGACCGGGTTGAACAGTTCAACCGCCAGGGTTGGAAAGTCTCTGATCAATTCAATGGTTTTTTATCAATTTCCGGGTTTTAGGAAAAGCGGACCCAAAGAATGGATTGAGTGACAGTTTGGATGGTTCAACCATCTGGGTCAACGGTGGGTTGAAAACATTGATTCATCCACAAAGGTGTTGGTCCCTGACAAGGAGATGCAGCACCTTGTCATATTTATAGGCACAAGTTTTCAAACTGATTCTGCAGCATCTTTGTTCTGCAAACCAGTCTCCTTTGTCAGTGAATTGGGGTAAAAAACCTATGACTATTCTTTGACACCAAGCAACA